ATTGTCAGCATTGGAGACAACACCCGCCCCGCCCCCTACCCCCAACAGCATTTCTTCTCTTGAGTTGCCAGGGTACACAGGCCTCTTAAATGTCCCCAATCAAGAGCACAGCAGTTGCGACCCAGTTCTCCCTCCGATCCAGGAGTCTGGGACCCAGGCCCCTTTCCTAGGAGGACCAGAGGCCAAGCCCCCAGCTTTTCCCCCCTAAGGCCCACGAGTCCCAGCCTTCTGCTCTGCTTCTCAAGGGCCTCAGGTGTCTGGAACTTTAATTCCTAGCTCGAAGATCCATGACAGGAAGTTCCCAGCCCCCCCCCCCCTTTTTAACCCTTATCCGAGGACAAATTTTCTCCATTGCTTTTCGTAGAGAGTGGAAGGGGAGGGGGGAGAAACATCCATGTGAGAGAGACGCACTGATTGGTTGCCTCCCACACATGCCCTGACTAGGCCTCCAGGATCCAGCCTGCACTGAGGTATGTGCCCTTGGCTAGGATCGAACCTGGGACTCTTCAGCCTGTGGGCTGACGCTCTAACCACTGGGCCACACTGGCCAGGGCTCAGGCTCCCTTTACAAAATGGCCCAATTCAGGTACCCAGCCCTTCAGGACAAGGGTCTGGATCCTCGTCTTTGCTCTAAGGACCAGGGAATTTCTATTTCCTCACCTCTAGCCTCTCCCTCCCAGCCTCCCCTCCAGGGCTTACTGCTTTGTCTCCTCCAACGACAGTGTAGAATTCTGTCTTCCCCAAGCCCAGTGGAGGAGCCCTGTCATGTGTGAGCATGTATGTTTGTGTAGATGTATATTAAAAGAGCCTGGAGCACTAAACAGGTAGCAAGGGGCTTGGTTTTGCTCCTACACTCACTTCATAGCCTAGGGTAGATAGAGGAAGGGCCTTGGGGCAGCCTGGATGGATACCTTCATTGATGGAGGGTAATAATGCCAAGAGAATCCTGAAGACAATTTTAATTTTTAAAATTAAACATATATCTTCTCACCCCCAGAGTCCACACCCACCTTCTCCAGTGACAGATCTCACCCTGTCCTCACTCCTTGGACCCAATTCTACCAGGACCTTTAAGGAAGGTGAAAGTAATGAAGATGGTGGCTCTCTTGGGTTCCCAAGGAGTGAACTGCCATCTCGGCTTCACTTCTGTTGGCCAAGCAAAGGGTGCCTCAGGGAGAGCCGGACAGGGCCTGGCCTGGCCTCCATCTTTATCTGCCCTATGTTACCTTTCTTCTCAATGCAAGTGGTCATCTTGAAATATCTTCCTTCAGTGTCTGGAAACAACTTCTATATCTGCCTCTAACTCCCGTCACCCCCTGTCTCTATTCCTCTGTAAAGGGACCATTTGGCATCTTGAGTCTCTTTTATACAGGGGAATAGGTGGACATAGTGGCCATTTTGCTCCCACTTGGGGCATCTCTTTTGGCTGAGCAAACTGTTCATCAATAACCCAGGCAATAGTAATGCTCTGTCCCTCCCCTCAATGTTTAGTTTTGGAGGAGTAAGGTCGCTAACTTGTTCTAGTTCTTTAGAAATCAGGACAATCAATCCATTATGACAAGTTGAAGATCCCAGCACTTTTCAGTTGGACAGATGCTACACATGAGTTTGGAGACGAGAGTGGCTGGGTGTGGGGAAGGCAGCATAAGGGAAGGGGGGGTCCCTGGGGGCCAGATCTGGGGGCCCAAAGGATGTGGGCTTGATGTAGCTGGTAAAAGCTCGAGAATGGGGTGTGGTGAGATAACCTGCCTGGGCTCTATACAGTTTGCAGGGGGGAGGCATGCCCAGGTGTGAGTTGAAGTCATAGAAAGGAGAGGTTCCCAGAGGTCCAAGGGGGGAGGGGGGTGGTAGGAAGAGGCTTTCTCCGGGGGTATTGCCAAGGCTCAGGCTCACACTGACTCCTCGGACCTTGTAGTAACCGTTGGTTGGGTCCTGAGGAGACAAATGGGATTTGTATGTAAGGTGTGTGGGGGGGGGGGAGGACCACAGATGGAGATCAAGCCAGACCTAGTGAGAGACAAAAGACAGAACAGGAGCAGGCAGAGACAGAGAGATAGACATATAGACTGGAAGGATGACAAAGTAAGAAAAAACAGAACACAACAGTGACAAAAGACAAAGGAACAGAAGGAGATGGGCAGAAAAAGAGACAGAAGGATATAGGCCTGCTGAGGGGTGGTGGTGTGGAAGGAGGTGCAGAGGGAGAAAGAGAGAGAGAGATTGAGGCCAAGATATTTATTCATACATCTGCCCAACAGCCCCATGGCTTTGATTTTGTGTCATGCCTTGTGCTGCTGCTGCATAGACCTCACCTGTCCTCCCCAGACTAGCCCCACCTTTAGGGTCTTTTCTCTCTCTCCTCTGTACCTAGGACATGCTATTCTGCTCTTCTCTTGGCCTAAAACACTCCTGCCTTCCTTCCCATACCTACCTAATGCTCTCCTTCAATTCCAGGCCAAAGGGGAATGACAGATCACCAAACAGAGCCCAGAGGGGCCAGCACTGTAGTGGAGGAAGTACAGGCAGAGTGGCTGGGATTGTGATGATGGGGCTTTATGGGGAAGCACAGGCAAGACAACCAGGGCTGTGATGGGGAGGCCTTCAGCACAGTGATCAGGCTCTGCTGGAGAAGCCCAGCTCAGAGTGGTCCTGGCTGTGACAGGCGAAACATGGACAGAATGATGAGAGCTGTGAGCTGGGAAGCATGGGCTTTCTAGAACAAGAAGTGTTTGAGCTGAGACTAGAGGAATTGAAGGAGAGCATTAGGTAGGTATGGGAAGGAAGGCAGGAGTGTTTTAGGCCAAGAGAAGAGCAGAATAGCACGTCCTAGGTACAGAGGAGAGAGAGAAAAGACCCTAAAGGTGGGGCTAGTCTGGGGAGATGTAAGGCCGGTGTGGAACCTGCTAAGTGAGAGAGGTCTAGGGGAGGCAAGCAGGGTGCGGTATCCAGGAGGCCTGAAACATGAGTGTGCTGGGGAAAGCACAGGCAGACTGAACCCTGATCTGGGGCTCAACATGGAGTCCAAGGATAGGACATACATGTGGGCAGAGTCAGCAGATACGCAAACTGAGGGTGTAAGGATGGGTGAGACAGCCCAGGTGGCAGGACAAAGAGGAAAGGGGGCTGGGTCCCTGCTCTTCGGGCAACAGAGTAAAAAAGGAGGGGACAGAAGCAGGGAAAGAGTCGGAGACACAGAGAAGGCAGCCCTTCCCCTTCCAACACTCACCTTGGTCTCCAGAGCCCCCTCCTCATCCAGAACCAGGTCACTGTGCATGATGGGGCCCTGGAGTAGGGTGATTAGTGAGAGGGGGTGGTCAGAGGATCCTTCTGCCCCAGTGCTTGACCCCAAGTGCCCTCAACTGAAGAGTGGAGGCCAGGCAGAAGGGAGCTGGGGTAAAGACGCAAGAAAACAAAGGGCCCTGGGGACATATTGGATCTAGGGAATAATTTGCTCAGGGCATATTTGGATTTGGGGGACATTTGGGTCTGGGGTCAATGTTGGGACTAGGGCCCAATTCGAGTTTAGGGGCCCTGTTGGGACTAGGCTACTATTTGGGTCTAGAGGTACAATTAGGTCTGGGGACCCTGGCTTCCTACCTGGTCCTCACTGCTGCCTGTCTCCTCTTCCTCGGGACCCCGCAAACTGGAACCATTGCTGCCTGGAATTCGCACCAGGTTCTTTTGCTTGGAGAAAGAGGCTGAGGCCAAGGGCAGTGGGTGGGGTGGGGGGAAGGATGCAGAGGTAAGCGATGTAGCAGGGTCACAGTTTGTGAAGACCAATGAGCAGGAAGAGAGAGGATGGTGTGTGTGTGTGTGTGTGTGTGTGTGTGTGTGTGTGTGTGGTTGTGTGTGTGTGTGT